AAAAAATTTAATAAACACTTTACCCAAGAAGATACATGAAATACAGACAGTCCTTGGGTTACGTCGGACTCAACGTATGTCGTTTCCTGGTTACGTCACCATCTCCCATTTATTTATATATAAAAAAAGTTCCGTCATTTCGACGTATGTACATATGTGCTTTATGTTTTTTATTATTTATTTACCACAAGTAAAGGTCAGGAATTGTTATCTTTCTTTTAATTTTTTTTTACTGTTTTACTTCATTACTGCTGCGTATGTGCTCCATGTGAGTGACGTAGATGCTTAAGTAGGTGGGTTCCGACTTACGGCGAAATCGAGTTACGTCGCGCGGTAGGAACGGATCTCTGATGTAACCCAAGGACCTACTGTATATGGGCTCACATAAGAAGCTTGAAATTATTAGTCATTAGGAAAATACACATTAAAACCACATGACAGGATTCCACATTCCAATGGCTAAAATTTGAAAGTGACCAAACAGAGTGTGGGAGAAACTGGGAATTTCACACACTGCTGAGGGGAATGTAAAATGGCATGATCACTTTGAAATACACATGGTGTTTCTTAAAAAGTTAAACATACACCTCCCATGAGAACTAGCTATTCCACATCTTGGTATTTAACCAAGAGAAATGAAATCATATGTCTGTGTATACAAATATTCATAGCAGCTTTATTTGTAGTAGCCAAAAGGCAGCAAATAATCCAAATATTGATCAGCAGGTAAATGGATAAACAAAGTATCCTATATAATAAAGAGCTAATATGCTAATTAGACTGAACAGCTGAACAACCTTCTGGACGACCTTCTAGATCTAGACGAAACCAGGGCTGTGAGGGCCAGCTAAGGCTGTGAGGGGCTGCGAGGGAACAAGCCCCTTGCACGAATTTCGTGCATCGGGCCTCTAGTAGTATAATAATACAATGGAACACTATTCAGCAGAAAAAGGAATGAACCATGTATGCACATATAACATGGATGAATCTCAAGATGAGGATTAAGTAAAAGTCACCACACAAGAAAAGATATATATTGTATGACCCTACAGATAAAGTCCTAAAAAATCTTAAATAATCTAAGGTGACAGAAACTAGTTCACTAATTGCTTTGGTAGAAGGGTGATTCTAGGGAGGAAGGGGTTACCAAGGGGCATTAGAAATCTTTGGGGGTATTAGAAATATTCTTTATCTTGATTGTGATGGATATATACTTATATCAAATTTTCTCAGATTAGACACTTGAAGTATGTAGTTCACTGTATGTCAAGTAGACCTCAACAAAGCTGCTCAAAATACCCAGTTAAGAATGCCTTCTCTTCCCCATGGCACCTTGACTAATACATTCTTTCTTCATCCCCTACATTCAATCAGTAATTAATTCCTAACCATTCTATTCTCCTAATCTCTCTCCAGTTTCACAACTATTACCCCAACCCTTTCTCACCTGTATTATAATAGCCTTCCTCCAGTCTTCACCCTGCAGGCAGAATTAACTTTCTAAAACAGGGGAAACACATTTCAAATTCTCTTACCATGACTCACTGGACCCTCCCTGTTCTGGCCCGTCACCCAGCCCAGCCCCAGCCTCCTTTCTGGTGATTTCGCACCTCACCCTTTCCTGATGAGCCATACTGATTAACCATGTGCCAGGTTTACCTAGTTTTGCACATGCTGTTCCCAAATCAAAGATAATCCCTTCCCCTTTGTCTTTCTCCAGCCCACTCATACCGAGGCTTTGTAACTCAGCTCAGTTATCATCTCCTCTGGGAAGTTTTCCTAAACCCCATATTGGGCCATGTGCCCTCTGGCAACCCCTGAGCATCTTCAGCATACCTTGCCACAGCACTGACCTCACTATCATATAATCTCCCCCGTCAGACCAGACAGCAGCAGACTGGAGAAAGCAGAGACCGCATCTTATTCTCTTTACCACGTTGCCAGGCCCACACCTGCCACAAGATTAGTGAACAAATGAATGAGCTCAGGCACTGGTGTGGATGGCCTCATCTTACACTACCTGGGTTGATTCTATATCCCACCTTATAAAAAAGATGGGCAGGTGAGAGGTGAAATGACCTCTATAATATATTCTGGTAAGATAACTATATCAAATCCCCTGGGAAGGCGGGGGGTCGTCTCACTCTGGCTAGGAGTTTAAAGGCAAGATTCACCACCTGAAATTGTTTTCGAAACCAGCTGGTAATTGACTATGATTTGAACTAAGTGAAAGGTTAGGGAAAGGGAACCAGATTCCCGGAAAAGACAAGGCCCACAGCAAAGATTAACATAACCTGGAAGAAGGCCCAGTCTCCTCCTAATAAACTTAATCACATCTAGAAAGACACAGTTCTCACCCTCTGGGTTATTCCCTTCTCCCAATACTCATGCTTTGACATCCAAATCCAGCCAAAGTAGCTCCCAACCTTTCTTCCCCCCCGCCCCCAGCCCCCCAATCAATCTCCAGGCCCTTCTCAACCTCTGTGGTCTGTTTCCCCCAGTCATTCTTAATAACAGGAGGTCCACCTCAGCTGGTCTCTCCCAGAGTCAGGCCAGTGGCCACCAGGTCAAGAGCCAAGCAGAGGCCCTCATTACCAGTAGACTCCCAGAAGACCAGGAGGAAGTCATAAGGCGGAAAAACCCAGCTGACAACTTCAAAAGTAAAAAATCAGGTTACACAGGTGGCGGCTTATGGGAAATGAGGAAAAGCCAGCAAAACAAAGCAAAAGCAAAACTCTACCATAACAGCCACATTCTAGGAGAGGATAAGCAATTCAAGAGATAGTGGCTTCCTCACCCCTGAACTCCTATTTTAAAAATTAACCAAATGATTATGGCTCTTCCATTTCTTGGTAATGATTGCCACTTTAATTTAGGGACAAAATGGGTTAAAACAAGAGAAGTGCTTCCGTGGAAAATAGCCAATGATTAAGGAAATCCATACGTTTGCATCTTGGAATGATTAGTCCCAGGACTTACCTACCCAGGATGACTGTAACCAGACAGCACTACTACTATACCATCTAAACTGCACCTCCAACGTTATCACCAGCTGCTGATAGCGTTTCAAGTTACAAGCAGCACTGGCCTTAAAATCCCTTAGGTAGCCAGATTTGAATTCAAAGGCTCAAATATGCCTGGAGAAACGGTCCTAAAACGCGGGACAGGACGGAGGGGGTGGAGGGGAGAGAAGTGAACATGGTCAACTGGACAGTGATGGCAGAGGACCTCGGGTTCCAGACATCTCATGGGCAGCTCTGGGGATGCAGTAAAAGCCGACCCTCCCGTTGAGTGGCCGGACGCCTCACCCAGGAGCGGACACGGGGGACCCAACAATGTCTCCGGAGCGAAGGCCCGGCTGGAATGAGACTTTAGCAGCTGGAGGAGGAAAAGGAAGAGGAGGTGGCGACAGCACCAAAAGGGAGGGAGGCGTCGGCCGGGTGCGCTCTCCGATTGGATAGCGTGCGCGCTGCGCGTCTGCAACAGGCCCTGGTGCACACGTGGGCCTGAGGGAGGGTCACTTACTTGTCCAATCTGATATCACGGATTAGCAGGCTGGACCCTGCAGGTGGCCCGGCGTGGCCGCAAGGCGACCGGACTGGGCGGTCTCCTCCAGCGATCGAAGCCCCGCCCCGTCCCAGGCCACGCCCCAGGTCCCGACCCGGCCCCGCCCCCGGCCGGCCGCGGCCCCCGTGAAATGCTCCCCGATTGGCCCTTTGAACAGAGCCCGGATTGGCCTGTGCCGGTCGCCCCGCTGCCGGGCTGCCCAGCTGGTAGGTGGCCGGAGCGCGAGGTCGCTGGGGCAACGCTGGTCGCGGGGCTTTTGAAGGCGCCCGTGGGGTTTGGTCCGCTCCCGCTGAGAATTTCGCGTCCCAAGGCTCACTTCCCAGAACTCACCCATGCTAGCCCTTGGCCGCCCCTGGTCCGTGCGTGTCAATGTGCATCTTATAGCCACTGCTCGACCTTTACTGAACACCAGGACTGTTGTAGGCAGACGTAAAAAAATAATAAAAATATCTGTTGAATGCTTACTTTGCGCCAAGTCTTGTTCCTGGTGCAGTGGAACCTCGGTTCTCGAACTTAATTCGTTCGGGAGGCTGTTCAAAAACTGAAGGATTTTTTTCCCATTAGAAATAATGTAAATGGAATTCATCCATTCCAGATCCCCAAAGGATGCCGTTTTAACTTTTCTTATATACAATACATATCTAACGTACTGTTTAATCTATAAATAAACACTTTAGAAACAAACGACATGAAATGTAAGTGAAAAGTTAGTAAAAAGGAAATTAAATGTACAGTAAAAATGAAAATTTAATAATAAGCAGGAACAAAGGCAAAAAAAACCTACAAAAATATTCACAGCACAATATCCTGAGATGTTAACAGCGGTAAACTGACTCATACTCTGGCATTCTCCCCTTTCTTTGTCTGAGAGACCAGTGACGGATCATACAGGTATCAGCATGAAAGGTTTGTCAGGTTGAGAAGCAAATTGTTTGAGACATTTAAAAAACGAGGTTTGATTGTACTTTACATGGATTTACTCATCTAATGCTATGACCAACCCTCTGCAGTGGAGTCCCAGTCTTTAAAACTACAAAACAGAGGGGTTCCTAGGCCTTTGAAGAAGTTACAATCTGTGGGGCCTGGAAATACCTACCTAATTTTATCCTCACAATCCTTGCCTTTCCGATAAACTACACACTGTTTGACCCTATCTTATAGATGCAGAGTCAGAAACGTGATTAACCTGTACAGAGACACACAGCTAGCTCCTACCCAGAGGGAGAATTCCAACCAGAGCTCTTATCTGAGCTGTTTCTTTTAAAAAAGCAGGTTCCAGGCTGATGGGACTCAAGATTGGGAAGGTAGTTTAGCAAATCCCTGAGGCCAAGCCCTTTGTTTTCCGAGAAAAGTTAACTGGTGCCAGTAAAGGGAAGTATCTTTCTAAGGACACGCCAGATATGAGAGGTAAGCCTAGGTAATAACAGCGACTTTATTGACCTGGCCTATGTGCATTATAGTCACTGTCTGCTACCCTCATAACAACCCCAGAAGTCAATAGATGCTTTGATCTTTGTCTTACAGGTACTGGCTCAGTGAGGCTGAGGCCACATGATTAGCTACATCTCCTGGGAGTCCTGGATCATTTTCTTTCTTCTTTGCAATGATGGTTCACCTTTCGTTTCCAACAAGCATCTGAAGATCTAACCGTCTTTGGGATCTGGTTACTTAGCATTTATGTTTCTCGTGGTGTACAGTAGAAATAATAAGACCTCTTCATCTTACCTTTCCAGAGTATTGTGAAGAGCAAATGAAGTGATAAATATGGAAATGCTTTGTGAAGTGTGAGATGCTGCATACAGGTAAGACATGGTCTCCAGATCTTCCCCAGAGTGCCCCAGGAAGGGGAGAAATGAAATATGCTGGCTGCCCCAGGAACTATGGCAGGAGGTCTCATCTTAGCTAGATTTGAATGAATGCCTATTTGCTGCCTGGTCTTTATGGATGTCTCTGTTTCTAGGCTTTTTGTATTCAATTTTGTTCTGTTTCCTCTAATTATCATACTATCATTAGTAGTAGTAGCAACAACAGCACAGTGGCTGGAACACCAGGAGCCATCTTGGACCATGAGAGGACCTTAAAAATGAAAGACACGCAGTAAAGCAAGGAGTCTGCTTCTGTAATACAAAGACAGCTGTAGATCAGTGTAAATGAGTTGGCCTGGCTATGTTTCAAGAAAACTTTATTTACAAAAGCATGCAATGGGCCAATGTGTCCCATGGGCCTTCACTTGCATCCCCATTGATTTATTCAGTTCTAATGTTCCATCACAAAAGTGCATTGGAAATACATTATAGAAGGCAGGGGGATTGTGACAATGCAGGCATGCTCACACTGTTGACCAATAGAAAGGCCAGGGCATGACAGTGCAGTGCAAAAAAAATAATAATAAAATAAATCCCTAAGCTGATAGTCATGAGATATGGGCAGCAGGTTCATATCTGCAGCTGCCACTAGCTCTATATTTGGACTAACTCCAGTTGCCTCACTTTCCCTATATTAGGGAAACAAATAATAATACAAATGTGATCCATACTTTCCCATTTTTTTATGACTGCAGGGAGACTAAGAGGAGATTACATATGTTTCTGAAAGCTATAAATGTTATCTAACTAAAGTTACATTGTTTCACCCAGGGCAGGACTATATAGCCTCCATGTACCCTTCAGTCCTCTATTTTACCTCTGGAACCCATAGAATGCATACATTAAATGCCCGGTAATTATCAGTGTATCTGTTTTTCACCTTTCCTCCTCCCTGCTCTGCAGAAAGGGTTATTGTGTTGCACTGGATTAGAAGACTTTATTGTCGGGAAGTCTAGACATTCACTCAGGGTTATTGCCGGGCAGCCTGGGATCCCGCAGAGTCAGTTTTCACTCAGCACATCACAAGTCACACCAAGTGAGGCAGCACATCAGATCTGAGTGAAACAGAAAGAGCTGGATTGTGAAACCCTGGAACCAGCTGAACTGCAAGTTTGTGTAATTTTCTTCCTGCTCTGAGACAGTTACGTGCAACACCAGGAGACTGGGTGCTCCCTCTGATGACACGCAGAGGCCCTGTGATTCTCTAACTACTTTCTCTGAAGGCTTTTCCTGCTTTAGCAGCCGGCCGCCTCACCAGAGAAAATACATAATTTCCCTGAGATTCTTGGAATCATGGCACAGAAATCGGTATAGTTATTCATTTATTCATTTGTACATGTGGGTATTCATTCATTAACAAAGACTTTTTGAGGGCCTACTGCTCTAGCCACTAAAGAGTTGGTGTTGAGAAGAACAAATATTGTTGCTGTCCTCAGGGAATTTACAGCCCTGAAACAGACCTTCAATAAATAAGCACACAGGCATATAATTGATTCCATTGCAAGCAGGAAGGGAAATAGGATACTATGAGACAGGGAACATGATTTAGATTGAGGTCTAGCTTAGATTGGTGATTTTGTGAAAACAGTGGCTTGGAATACATTGTCTTCAGCAATCCCGTGAAGTGGCTAGTATTATCACAACCATTATACAGATAGGAAAACTGAGGCTTAGGGAATTCCATTCCCAAGATTAGAAGCCTCCGGAGGGCAAGAAATGTGCCTTCTACTTTAGAATCTCAGCAACCAACACAGTACTCTGTAATCACAGATATATAGTTGGTAGATATATATGGCTGTGACAGCCCTTATCTGCCTACTGGGCCCTTCACTATCAATCAGACTTTTCTCCTGTCTCTGTTCCTGTCTCTCTTTCTCAACTCAGTCTCCCTTAAGCCTCCCTTGAACTAGATCCTCTTTCAGGAACAGGTGGCACTGCATGGACACTCTAAGTCTTTCAAATCCACACTGTCATCTCAGGAGGAAAGTAACTGAAGTAGTTCACTGGACACCCAACAGATGGTCAGCAAGGTGAACATGCTGACTAGAAGGGCCTGCTGAGCTCCCCACCCTGACGAGCACCAAGAGCCATCTTTTAGATACAAAATAACTTATGGGCATGGACAACAGTGTGGTGACAGTGCAGGGAGGGGTGAAGGTAGAAAAGGGCATAGAGGGGATAAATGGTGTTGGGGAAAATAAAATAATAAATAAAATTAAACTGAAAAAATAATAATTTGCTCAACCCTCACCTTTAAAGAATGCCAATAGCTCATTTCCAATGATGGAAGATGTCCCAACTTACTTTATTACTTACCTGCTACTTCCTACTTACCCTTTGCCTGCCTGCCTGCCTGCATCTCTTCACTCAGCAGACATCCGCTGAATGGTGAGTATTTGCTAAGTGCTAGGTCAGAGCTGGATGCTATACCAAACGCACAGATAAAGTGCTATGGACACCCCAAGGCTGGTGGGAAGAGAGGGGTTGGAGTGCAAAGGGAAAGGAAAGACTGTGCTAACATTCACTGGGATCTGTGCTCAGCACCTCACGTGCAGTGTCTCCGTGATTCCCCCCAACCACCCACGTCAGCGAGTAGAGGTTATTGCTGAAGAAACAGAAGTTCACAACGATGGAGCAACATGCCCATGAGGCTGGTCATCTATCTCAAGACACCACCTGTGAAACTGCCGAAGAGGGAGTTTCTGCTGAGAAGCTGAAGTGGGCAGAGGTGCTCATGTTGGAAAGAAAGGCTTGAGATGAACGCAAGTCCTAATGTTCTTCCTGGTGTCCCCCTGTGGATCCCGTTTCCTCTTCCAGGTCTAAGCTGCTCACCCACTCCCCAGTTCCAAGACCTCACTCACCATCTAACCTGGCTTGACACCATCCATATCTTTCTCCCCGAACACCACCCAATGACAACTCCACAGCCTCTTGGCCCTGAGTCATTTTAATAAAAGTGCAAACTATGTGATGAGCCACGACAACAATGTGCAACCCTAAACCCCAACAGGCATTCTTCTGCACGGAGGCAACAGGTGGACCGTGAGATGACAAGGCCAAAGGAGCCGGGAGACAGATGGCCTGCTGGAAGGGTTTGCTCGAATCCCTGGAGCCTGGGCCTCGTCTGGCCTCTGGTTGGAGAAACTGTGCCATGAACCTCTCTAGAATAACGTCATTTGGAAACCATGAGGGAACCTTGGTGTAGGTAGTTTTCAGACTAGATCCTATGGGACGGTGCCTGCACAGCAAAGGAGAGGCTGAGTGGACTCCCAGGTCTTCCAAGATGCCCGGACACCTGCCAAGTTGTTCTTTTGTTCAAGACACCAGGTGAAGGGGCTAACGAGGGCTAAAACCCAGTCCTACTTTGCTAGTCAAACTTTGACCCTCTGAGGATGCTCCTAGGGTTGCCCACTAGACGGGGCAACTTTTCCTAATTTGCACAAAGTATAAAGTAAGATAGTGGTAGCTTTGTCCTCCCACTCCCCCAACCACAAACACATACACACATAGAATCGTGCACACATACCTACAGGCTCATAGTACTAGCTCAAGTATCTATAATAATAAAAGTGTAATATGCCAATTAGACCTGACATCCTTCCGGACGTCCTTCCTTCCAGACAAAGCCGCAGCAGGTGAATGCTGAGGCTGAGGCAGTAGAGCCCCCCCACCCCACCCCACTCGGAACAGAGGCAGCAGGCGGGGGGCTGAGGCCAAGGCCCTTGCATGAATTTCGTGCATCGGGCCTCTAGTATACACATAATTATACAAACACATGTGCAGACACATATGCACTCTACACACAACACACAGACATACACACACAAACTCATATCATATACCACACATAAACAGATACACAGACACACAAAAGAAACCATAATACAGCGCACAGAAATATACATGCAGGCACAAATATAGTCACACAGACCACAGACATTCAAACCACACAAATACATGTACACTCAAACACACACACACATGCACATGCATACATGCACAGTCTCATATTCATTTATACAACACATACATATAAGTAGATGAACATACATACACATAGACAGACAGAGGAATGACCGTGGCTTTGCTTCTTCCTCGCTTCCCCTGGTCCTCAGCTCCTCCCACTTCTCTACCAGCTCAGGTCCTGAGATGGTTTCAACTGAGCCCCAGAAACTCAGCAAGGGCTCTTTCTGCAGACTACCTGTTCTTTCCCCGGATTTACCTATTAGTAGTTGAACAGACCACAGAAACTGTTATTTTGCTTACATTTTCCTTTTTACATAGACACAAGAGCAATATGTGACTTAAAATATATATCCAAATAAATCTAAAAGATTTTAATTAAAAAATGTACCTAAATTGTGTCTAATTACATCTAACAATTTTTCTTAGTATTCATTACATTTTCAAAAACTTGAAGTAATGAAAAAGCATCGTGTCCCAGCTCAGGTGGCAAAGGGGTTTCTCTTCCTCAGGCAGTTCCGACTGATGGATGGCAGCTACCTGGGCCTCTGCTGAGAGGCTGCTGGCAGGGAAGCGTCATAAAAAATGGTACCGCCCTTTAGACACCTCCTCAACCCGAATGCTTGTGAGTGTGAGTGTTGGGTAAGGCTATCTTCAGTGCTCCAATGCCTCCAATTTTAATGCCTCCGATTAAGACAAATTAATTGAACGAAGTTCACCAAAGCTCATCTGTGTGTGTAGCCAGACCAATGCTAAGCAATCCTGCTTGAGAAGAATTTCCTAACCTACCGGGACAATTATTTGATACACATTCTCACTCAATTCCAATTGAACCTAAAGTTGTGGGGGTTTTGAGAGTTCTTTTTTTTTTATTTTTTATAGTTTTGGGCTTAGACGCTGGTAACTATGATATCCAACCCCACTGGGCGATCCTGGATGTCAGAGTCACCATGCTCACAGACATCTGTGGGGAG